AGCCCGGTACGGCGGCCGGATGGCAGAGCGAGGACTGAGGATAGCTGAGTTCTAATGTCCCGGCCCCACTGCTGGACCTCTTCTAATGGCCCCTGGTATTTTCCTGGCCCCTGTGTGACACCGGAGAGTGCTGGACTGGATGGGCCACTGGCCTGGTCCAACGCGGGCTTCTCTTATGTTCTTATGTCTGGGGCAAGGGATGCTCTGTCTTCTTGGTGCTGCTTGGGGGTGGGGGGCAACAGCGGGAGGGCCCCAGGGCCACCACCGGGGATTAGGCACTGAGGAGCGGGTGAGGATTAAGCTCTGATGGGGCGGGAGAGGTAGGTGAGCAAGGCCAGTCCTGTTCTGGTCACTTACCCAGCAAAGGTGCCCTGGAGAGGCTCATAAGCAGGGCCGGTGAGGCTACCTTCTGGCGCCCACCTCCCCGTGCACCCACCAATTACAGGGTTGCCAACCTCCAGGCAGGGCCTGAAGGAAGACTTTCCTCCATGAATTGCTCTGATCCTGACGGGGGAGATGGAACCAGAGAGAGGCGGTGTGGAGAGTCATAAGGGAATTCACCCTGGGCCTCCTCTCCCTCTCAGCCCCGGCAACCTGCCCTTCAGCAGAATTCCTAGTTTGACTCCGAAGCAGGGAATGGTGACTCCGGAAGGCTCCCATTTAAATAAAGGACGGACGGCCTCGGCTACGTGCCCTGCCCTCACAAGGGACTGCTGGGGGGAAGGAAGAGAAGTTGCCGGCGGGTAGGCCAGGCTAGCTGGCTCAAGTGGTTAAGACACTCAGCTGCAGACCGGAAGGTCGGTTGTTCGACAGTTTAAGACCCGTGTGAAGGACTGAGCTCCTGTCTCTGGCCCCAGCTCCTGCCAACCAGGCAGTTCGAAAGCAAGAAATTGCAGGTAGATAAATAGGTACCGCTTCGGTGGGAAGCAATGCTCCCTCTAAGCTGTGGAGTCTTGTGAGCAAAAATTCTACTTTGTGAGCTACTGGCATTAAAGTTGTGAGCAGGTGATTTGGCCGCTGCATGAGTTAGTTTGCTCCGGAGCCGTCCTTCCTGAGCTAAGACAAAAATGTGTGAGCTGGAGGCTAAAAAACTGTGAGCTAGCTCAAACTAACTCAGCTGGGAGGGAACACTGGTGGGAAGGTAACAGCGTTCCGTGCGCCTCGGTGTCTAGTCACGCCGGCCACATGACCACGGAAACGTCTTCGGACAGCGCTGGCTCTTCGGCTTGGAAACTGAGATGAGCACTGGCATCCCTAGAGTCGGATTCGACTGGCTTTTGAGCAAGGGAAACCTTTACCTAAGCCAAGCTGGGAGTGGGGCCCCTTGCAGAGGGCAGCCCTGTCGGCTTGCAGCGCGAGAGCCTGCCTCGAGTCCTGCTGGGACACCTCGGGGAGAGACCAAGGCGATGTTGAGGGCCGGAGCAGCCCCTTCATCCCACGGACTTGGGAATGACTCCATGAACGTGGGGGTGGGGGGAGAGGGGATGAGCGCCTGGCAGGGACAAGAGACCCTCCCCCGTTTGGAGGTGCCCCCTGCTGCCCCCTTTCCCGGGAGTCACCAGCCAGCTGGGGAGCGGCCCTCTGTGCTGCGCCTCCCAAGGGCAGAGCCCCTGGCTCCGGCCGCTCCCCTACGGGGTACCTGCCGGAAGGGCCCGGGCGAGCGGGCTGCAGTGTGGCTGGGCCCGGGCTGGGAAGCAGGGCCATAGCTGCCATGGGGCCCAACGGGGCCCAGCCCCCCTTTGGCTCTTATGGGCCTCCCTCCCTGAGCCTGGGCTCCCCCTCTCCCCTGATTGCCTGTCGGCGGGGCCTGCTCTTGTCAGAACTACGGCTTGCCCAAGGTCATCCAGCAGGTGCAAGTGGAGGAGGAGTGGGGAATCAAACCCGGCTCTCCCAGATTAGAGTCCTCCGCACTCTTAACCACGACACCAAACTTGGCTCCTCCCCCCGGGCAGTGGTCAGCCTTTGGGACAAGGGCAGCTGCTGCCGCCTCGAGGGGGCTCGTGCCCAGAGTGCGTCCGGGGAGAGGCCTGGCGCAGTGCTCCGGGGGAGGCTCAGAGGTGTCTCCCCTGCTCACACCTTGACGCAGAGAGCCCGCCGTTGGGTGTCGAGGTCCAGTGGGCGGACTCTACTCTGGGAGAGCCGGCTTTGATGATTCCCCCACCCCCTCCTCCACTGGCACCTGGCTGGATGACCTCGGGCAAGGCACAGTTCTGATAAGAGCTGTTCTCTCAACAGTAGTTCTGTCAGAGCTCTCTCAGCCCCACCTGCCTCCCAGGGTGTCTGTCTGTTGTGGGGAGGGGAAGGGAACAGGAGTTTGTGAGCCACTCTGAGTGGAGGGCGGGGTATAAAGCCAATCTCTTCTTCTTCTTGAGAGAGAAGGAATTAGATGGTTTAGTGAAGTCAGGTGAGGCTCACGGAATGGTACACCTGTAGGAGGCAGCCACCCCCTAAGGCCCTGGAGTCTTTCCAGTATAGGTGGCGGTGAGGCTATTTTATCTTTTCTGAAAAGGCTTGGTGAGAACTTGAGGGATCCCTTTTAGTTTTTGAAGGTAGGCTAGGTAGAAGGAGTGGAACGGATGCCTTTAACATTTGTGGTCTCATTTGCATGTTTTAGTGTCATTCGTTTTTTTGAAAGATGAGTGTGATTTTAAATCTTAAAAGATGCATTTGAATGCTCGGTGGCTTGGATACGAGGGTTTTCACCAAGACCTGGAATAAATAACTGGTGCTGTACAGAATGATCATTGAAGAGACTAATCCACATGTTGGTGGATTTAATCCACATGTTGGTGGATTAGAGGTTAGTGCATTACTGTCAAACAGTCATGTGCCAGGTGGGAGGAACTCCATAACTCTGAAGTTGACTGTGACCCACTAAAGCTCACATTGAACTCCATGTGGGCACTCCATGAAATGGCTGAGCAGTCGGGTTAGAACGGATCAAAGGAAGTCCTTCATTCACCCAAAGAGTGATGAATACGTGGAATTCCATAAGAACATAAGGGCCAAAGGCCCATCTTGTCCAACACTCTGTATCACACAGTAGCCAAAAATACCAGGTGCCATCAGGAGGTCCACCAGTGAGGCCAGGACATTAGAAGCCCTCCCACTGTTGGCCCCCCTTTCAAGCACCAAGAAGACAGAGCATCCCTTGCCCCAGAGCCCCTATCTATACCTTGTGGCTAATAGCCACTGATGGACCTCTGCTCCATATGCCTATCTAATTCCCTCTTGAAGCCGTCCATGCTTGTAGCCGCCACCACTTCCTGTGGCAGTGAATTCCAAGTGTTAATCACTCTTTGGGTGAAGAAGTACTTCCTTTTATCCGTTCTCACCCGACCGCTCAGCAATTTCATGGAGTGCCCACGAGTTCTTGTATTGTGAGAAAGGGAGAAAAGTACCTCTTTCTCTACCTGCTCTTTCCCATGCATAATCTTATAAACCTCGATCATGTCACCCCTCAGTCATGGTTTCTCCAAGCTAAAGAGCCCTAAGCGCTTTAACCTTTCCTCATAGGGAAAGTGTTCCAACCCTTTTATCATTCGAGTTGCCCTTTTCTGCACTTTTTCCAAAGCTATAATATCCTTTTTAAGGTGTGGCGACCAGAACTGCACACAGTATTCCAAATGAGGTCTCACCATTGATTTATATAGGGGCATTATGGTATTGGCTGATCTGTTTTCAATACCCTTCCTAATAATCCCCAGCATAGCATTGGCCTTCTTTATTGCAGTCACACAGTCTCGACATTTTCA